TGCTATGTATTGTTTTTACCATAATAAAGATAAGTAAATAAATCAGAATACATGTGCCCTGTTCCCAAGACATCCAGGGTCTAGTATAATGGTGGGAATACCAAACAAATTCTTACCAGCTGACTGTATAATTACATATGATGACTGTGGTGATAAAGGCTTCCACCAAGCACCATGGGAGTGAAGAGATAGGCAAAGGGGTGTTGTGGAAAGAGAACTGGTTAACAAAAGGTAAAAGAGATGAAAAAACAAAGAAAGAAAGAAATCACGGAAGAACTATGGTACATTGAATGAATAAATACTCTTCTCCCCTCACGAGGCATAAATAAGAAGATTGTATGTCCCAAATCGTCTGAGACAGTTATATCTGCTGTCTCAATACAACAATTAACAGTACCTCTTTCACTCTCCAGAGATTTCCTGGTTTGAATGGTAAATTGTATGGTCACCCCATGTATGAATAATGGCTATCCACAAGATGAATTTACGCGTAAATGTATATGACACCTTATCATTTTTCCAAAATATCCACCCAGCTGAAGAAGTACTGGGTAATGTTATGCACAACTAAACTTCTGACTTAAATCCACCCTACTTGAAAAACATCTGGAATCAGAATCAAAAATCCAAAGACAACTCTGACATTGTCAAGTACACTGTATAATCCCAACTCGCAAATGTCCAGCTCTAAACACTAGCCAGGTTTCCTCTCAAAATGGACCATACTTGGAACTTGATGCCAGGCGACTCCTCCTGCTTTTCAGCAATTTTGCTGGATGTGTTGGTTAGCACTACCCCAGAAGTTGTCATTTGGTTCCATTTGCTGCTGCTGGAAAGCTATGATTTGAGGCACGTTTTCTTCATTTGCCGATCTTAGCAGCCCCGTAACAACAATCATTTTCTTTTGTGTTTTGAGTCACAGGCACAATCAATGTCTCGACTGCTGTTGCTGACTTGGCCATCTAGATCAGCTTTCTCAGCCTTTCTCCTGCCCTATCATGCAGGACACATCAAGTGGTGCCACTAATCTCCTATACATTCAATGCAACCCCATCCTTTCTCTGCCACTCAGATGAGCATACCAGAGTGCAAGGAAGCTATCATAGAGCTACTGAGGCGTTCGTTCCAACTTACAGTCATTCATAAATTTTACTCACTCAATTCTTATTACTAACAAACTACTTGCAACACTTTCCAACAGATTCCTACTTTGGATTTATAAAACCATGCACTGTTCCACTTAACATCTGGGAGGCCATGTTCCAGAGAGAAAAAAGTGTGATATAAGAAGTGCCACCTACTGATACCCAACATATAAAGAGATACCTCTTAGACCAAAGGCCACTGGCAGAAAAGAACTTACTCTTTGATTAAGTCACTCAGCCCTTCAAAGGGTACCTTGAGCTCCATTTTTTGCAGAAGCACTTATTCTTAAAGATATTCTTTAAAAAATGGTTGGGCATAAATGTGTAGGTTTGCACTGTCTACAAAACAGAGAAGAAAGTTGCTATTAGAATTAAAAACACTATACAAAAAAAAATTATACAAGACTTGCAAAATCTAGCCAGCCATCTAAATTCAGTTCATATATTTATACTGTGATATATATTTGGGAGAACATATAATCGATCAAGACATATCCCCCCTCCTCTAGGAGAGAATAATAGCACGTACTAAAAAATAGTAACAAAAGCAACACCAAAAATAACAATGCTAGGAACTGTTCTAAGCCTTTCCCATGTATTAATTCATTTTAATCTACAAATAAAATATTCTTTAAAAGTAGGTACCATTATTGTCCTCATGAAGACAGATGAAGAAACCAAGGCATGGATTAGCTAAATGACTCCCCAAAGTCCCCTGTAGCTAGAAATTAGAATATATTTTTAAAAATACCGAAATCGTTATTGACAACTGCCAAGATATGGAACTGTCCACCAACAGATGAATGGATAAAGAAGGCGTTGTGTATATTTACGCAATGGAATATCATTCAGCTGTGAGAAAAGAAGAAATCCTGTATTTGTGATCATGTGGTGGACCTTGAGGGCATTATGCTAAGTGGAATAAGTCAGACAGAGAAAGACAAATATGGTACGAGATCATATATGTGGAATCTAAAAAAGTTGAACTTATAGAAACAGAGAGTAGAATGGTGGTTACCAGGGGCTGGGGCTGGGGCAAATAGGAAGATGGTGGTCAAAGATCTAAGATAATTGAGTTATAAGATAAATAAATTCTGGGACTTTAATGTAGAGCATAGTGATTATAGTTAATACTGTATCATATATTTGAAAGTGCTAAGAGACTAGATCTTAAATGTTCTCACCACAAAAGAAGGAATGTGACAAGATGGAGGTGTAGGCTAATGCTGTTCTGAAGAGGTACAGCTCTGAATGAATGGAGGCGAAGTTCTACCTGCCATGCAGGAGCAGAAAGGAAGGAGGGAGGCTACCTTCTGGAAATAATGATCTAGTGGGGGCTTCATTGCAGGCAAAGTACGTGAAAAATCGTCAACGATCATCTCATTTCCATATATGCTTTTACTCTGCCAAGATTTTAAAAATGGTGTTTCCTGCAAGTACCCTGGGGTCTGGGGAAAATGCATACATAACTCTGGGAGGATATACTTAAAGCCATATGTACAAGCATATAAATATATATGGGTTAGAATAATTGATCATATAGAGATCTGGGTTTTCTCCCCCAATTCCCTATACTCCACAGAAACAAACCAGGCAAAATATTGACTCGCAAAATTCTCATTCAATCTTAAAGTCTGGGTGACATTAAGATAAACCACAGTGGCTTTGCGCTGTTCATGAGATCATCTAACCTCTTGACGGAATTACAGCTTTATAATCCTACCCCCTCTCTTTATTACCCTATGTACAACACTCCATTAGCTAGAGTGCAGTCAGAAAAAAACCTTCCCAGCTGCCGAATTACCCTAATCACAATTCTTTTCTTACCTTGCCTGCTCTGGGCTGCAGGGCGGGGGAAGGAGCAGAAGGTGGAGGGGAGGAGAGAGCTGATGTTTCAGTGACAACTAGAAGAAGGTGCTTGACATTTCTTCCCTGCTCTTAGTCAGCATGACGGCCCGTTCAGTCTCCACCTCGCCCAAGCCTGTATTAACCCAGTGTGGAATATGGCAATTTCCTAAGCCACGGTCATTAAAGTAAATACCATTTCTCCCCATAAGTCTCCCTTTAGCTGCTGCATTCCTTGTGCTTGTTTAGCTCATGATATTTCATGCCAGATATTTTAGAGACTGTGCTCAACTGCAAACGGCCAAGCAGCTAGATTGTGAAATGCCCTGCTCCCATCCATCAGGGAAAGGAGTACACCACGGGGAGGTTGTGTTTTGTATTTGTTTTACATTCATTATGTGTTTCTTGCTGAGCCTGCCTTTCCCACAAATATTGATGACTGAGATAATGACTCTCTATTAACACCAACTCATGTTTGGTGATTGTGAATCTTCGGAAAGTACTTAATAATCACATTAAAAGATTTTGCTTTACGATGGTGGCAATCCTGCCAGATGTGTTATTGTGTTGTTAGATAAAAGCCGTCTTGAAAAGGTTTCAAGGTAACGTTTAAAAAGTAATCTTTTATTAGGCTGCCTAGCAAGATGCCCCATAAGCCCTGATAACACATAAGAGGTTTGAGTTCGGATAAAGAATGTGTTACCAGATGGCAACAGTAATTACCTTGTCCCCAAACTCAAATTGTATTTACCCTGCCTTTTGCCTACAAAGTTGCCAACGCAAGATCCAGCTTTTCCACTGGAGCGCACCATGTCATATTTCCTGCTGGCACATATATTAATGAGCGGGTGCTTTTATTAACAGTGTAAGACAAGAATATTTCAATCTTGTTGTTACCCCGGCTGCCTGATATAAATCATAAAGGACAAGGATAAAATTTAATTTGCAATAACTCTTTGGAGCCAGAGTAATGCTTGCCCAGGAGTTCCTTGTCAGAGCATCGTGGCTTTTCATTAAGTACTCAGCCACTGAATTCTTTTCAACTCTGGCAGAAGCAACGAGGGAACACTTTGGGAGCTCTATAAAAGGCATTCTCCTAATCTTCAAACCATTGGAAAGACTCTGTAGCATCTGTTAAAATATTTTTCCCTTCTAATCTGCCTGAAACTAATCGGGAGAAAATTCTAAGATGTTTCTTAATTAAGCAATAAGAAATGGTGAAGGGTGGTCTGTGCTGAGTTAATCACAGCTGTAAAGCATGAAAAAAGGAAAAGAGTTAAGTACCCCTAAATCCTTGGGCATCTCATTTCCCTCTGAATGTGCCTTATTGCTGTTATTAAGAAGTCTTTTTGTATTTCAGGATCGGAAGCTCCAAATGCGGAAAAGCTCAAGTGCAAGGGAGGGTCAGGCAGAAAAAACCAGCAAAATCCTCCACTGTGGCCAGGAGAGGGGAGGAAGGGGGGGAGCAAGGGGTAGAGAGGTGCTTCACTCTGCTCTCTTTTAGCCCCTGGCTTCTGGGAGTGGCCTACGGAACTGCGTCCTCAACCAAGAAGGAAATAAAACTGCGACAACTGTGAAAGTCAGGCAACTGGGGAGGTGCCGGCTTCACTAAGGAGCGCAAGCCCGCTTCACCTGACCCAGTTCCTTGTGGGATTCTCAGGTCGTGTTCATCAGCACACAGCTGGTGAAGGAGACAGTGTGAGAGCCGAAATCTCCCTCCCTGAAGCCAAGTGTGCAAACTTCTCTTTAAAACCCCCGAAAAGGTGAGCACCTAAACCCTTAAACCTACCTCCTCGTCCTTAGGATTCCAAGTCCCCACAAACTCCTTACCAGCAAATTCAGAGCTTACCAGAGGAGCATGGCAACTCAAACTTGCTTTCTCTCCAGACCATTAAGCCAGGAGTCCTCCCTCCTGTTTGGTTCAACCCCGAGACCAACCCTAGGAACTAACTCTGGAACAGTCTTTCACATTGTTGCATGCACTTCCCCCCCTCCGTGAAAAATCTGCCCGTGCCTCATTAGACCTAATGTTAGGGAGTGATTGGTTAGCAGTTGCAAGGACAGCGAGGACAACAACATCTGCTCTGCCATCGAAATTGTGAACTTCATCCTCACAAGAACTGGATGGAATAAGGGCACCACACAGCCCCTCACACTGCATGCTGTTTATCTTTTCACTTTCATTGACATTTTATTCAGTGAAGACAGCAAAATCTGTCAGCTTGAAATCTTATATTAAATATCAGAATTAAGTACATAACTGGTGTTTTTGCACTTTCTTCTCCACACAGTTGACCCTCGTGATTTGCAGATTGCATTATTTGCAAATTTGCCTACTTGCTAAAATTTACTGTAATAATCGAATTCACTCTGAAGAGCTTCCACGGTTGTTTACAGACATACATATGCACAAAGCAGTGAAAACACTGAGTCACGGACCTACACATCCCAGGTGAGGATGGACAAGTTGATGCTCTGCTTTTTCATATCAGTTCTCCTACTAAAAGCAAGTGTCCTTTTTGCAGTCTATTTAGTGCTCTGTTTTCACATTTTTGTGTTTTTGTTGGTAATTTTGCTGTTTAAATGGCTCTGATGCATGGTGCTAAATTGCTATGTAGTGTTCCTACTCTCAAGAAGACTTTGATGTGTCTTACAGAGAAAATACATGTGTTAGGTAAGCTTCATTCAGGCATGTTGTAGTGTTCTTGACTATGAGTTCAATGTTAATGAATCAACAATTTATATTGAATAAGATGTCTTGACACAGAAACACACATAAAACAAAATTGCATATTGATCAGTTGATGAAAATGTTGTGGCCAGGGGCTTGTAGAATCTAACCTTGTATTCCCCCAGAGGCAATAATTCAGTTTTTGCTAATTCCGGGTTTGCTGCTACTTTGTAGAACATAACTACCATGAATAACAAGAGTCGACTGGATCATCAACATTGCTTACTTCAGTGCAGGACCAGATGGTCTCCCTGGTGAATTTTATTAAACATTTAAAGAAAAATCAACACCAATCCTTCTCAAACTGTTCCAAAAATCAAAGAGGAGGGAACACTCCCAAACTCATTTTATGAGGTGTCATTATCCTGATACCAAAACCAGAAAAAGACACTTTCCTAGAAAGGAAAACTATAGGCCAAGATTCCTGATGAATGCAGATGCAAAAATACTCAACCAAATACTAGCACACCAAACTCAGCAGCACATTAAAAGCATCATTCACCATGATCAAATGAAATCTATCCCTGGGATGCAAGGATGGTTCAACATATACAAATCAACCAATGTGATACATTGCATTAATAGAATGAAAGAAAGGAATCATAGGATCATCTCAAAAGATGCCCCCCCAAAAAAGCATTTGACAAAATCCAAACATCCATTCATCCATTCATGATAAAAGCTCTTCACAAATTAGGCATAAAAGGAACACATCTCAACATAATAACAGTTATTAACAATAATAGCAGTTAATAATAATGTTGACAAGATCACAGCTAACATCAATGGTGAAAGGATGAAAACTTTCCTCTAAGATCAGGAACAAGACAAGGGCGCCCATTCTCACCACTCCTATTCAACTTAGTACTGGAAGTCTTAGCTACAATAGTCAGACAAGAAAAAGAAATAAAAGGTATCAGAATTGGAAAGGAAGAAGTAAAACTGTCTCTATTTGCAGACAACATGATTTTACATATAGAAACTTCTAATGACTCACCCAAAAAATGGTTAGATCTAATCAATGGATTCAGTAAAGTTGCAGGATACAGAATTAACATACAAAAATCAGTAGCATTTCTATACACTAACCATGAAATTTTTGAGAAAGAAATCAATCCCATTTACAATGGTATCAAAACCAATAACATACTTAGGAATAAATTTAATTTAGGAGGTGAAAGAGCTGTACACTGAAAACTACAAGACATTGATGAAAGAAATCAAAGAAAACAAAATAAATGAAAAGGTATCCTGTGTTCATGAACTGGAAGAATTAATATTATTAAAATGTCAATACTACTGAAAGCCATCTATAGATTCAATGCAGTCCCTATCAAGATTCCAATGGCATTTTTTATAGAAGTAGAAAAAACACTCCTAAAATTTATATAGAACTTAAAAAGGCCCCAAGTAGTCAAAGAAATTCTGGAAAAGAGGAACAAAGCAAGAGGCATCACACGTCCTGATTTCAAGAGCTAGAGTCATCAAAACAGTATGTCACTGGCATAAAAATAGGCAAATTGATCAATGGAACAGTATTGAGAGCTCAGAAATAAATCCAAGAATATATAGTCAACTAATATTTTTAAAGGAAGCCAAGAGTATTCAATGGAGAAAAGATAGTCTCTTCTTCAATAAATAGTCGTGGGATAATTGGATATTTACATGTAAAAGAATGAAACTGGACCCATATCTTGCACCACTCATGAAAATTAACTCAAAATGGATTAAAGAGTTAATGTTAAACATGAAACCATGAAACTCCTAGAAGAGAACATGGGAAAAAAACTCCTTGATGTGGGTCTTGGCAATGATTTTTTGGATGACACCTAAAACACAGCCACAAAATAAAAAACAAACAAGTGAGACTATATCAAACTAAAAAGCTTCTGCACCAGCAAAAGAAACCACTGACAAAGTAAAAAGACAATCTAACCCTACAGAATGTGAAAAAATACTTACAAACCATATATCTGATAAGGGATTAATATCCGAAGCATATAAAGAACTCATACAACTCAATAGCAAAAACCCCCACAACCCCCCCCCAAAAAAACAAATAATCCAATTTAAAAATGGCAAAAGACCTGTTCCTCCAAAGAAGATCTATGAAAAGCCAAAGGTACTTGAAAAGATGCTCAACATCACTGGTCATTAGGGAAATGTAAATTAAAAGCACAATGAGACATCACCTCCTACCTGCCAAAATGACTATCATCAAAAAGACAAAAGATAACAGATGCCGGTGCAGATGTGGAGAGAAGGGAGCCCTTGTGCACTGCAGGGCTGACTATAAATTGGTGCAGCCACTATGAAAACCAGTACGAAGCAGCCTCAAAAAAATGAAAAATAAAACTACCATATAATTCAGCAATTCCACTTCTGGGAATATATCCAAAGGCAACAGACACACAAACTCAAAGAGGTATCTGCACCCACACGTTCTTAGCAACATTATTTACAATAGCCAAGACGTGGAAACACCCTAGTGTCCATTGGTGAATAAATTCATAAAGAAGCTGTGGTATATCTATACCAGAGGATATCCTTCAGCCATAAAAAATAAAAATAAAATAAAATAAACAAGGAAATCCTACCGTTTGCGACAACACGGATAGATCTCAACAGCATGATGCTAAGTGAAATACATCAGACAGAGAAAGACAAATACTGTATGATCTCACTTACATGTGGAATCTAAAAACAAAACCAAACTCATAGAAACAGAGCTCAGACTTGTGGTTAGCAGAGATGGAGGGTGGGAAGGAGAAGTGGAGAAAAGTGGTCAAAAGAGCGAAACCTCCAGTTCTAAGATAAGTAAGTACTAGGAGCGGAATGTATCACTTGCCTCTAGTAACGAGGCTGCATGGTAGAGAGCAAGGTTGTAAAGAGAGGAAACCCTAAGAGTTCTCAGCACAAGGAGAAAAAACTGTTTCCTTTCTTATTTCTTTTTATTGCATCTACAAGATGGCCGTCAGCCGTACCTGTTGTGGTAGTCACTTCACGATATGTGTAAATCAAACCAAAGAAAGAATTGCTTCCTTTGCATTCTCCCCTCTCAGGTGGCTCGAACCAAAGCTGAAAACACTGTAGTGGTTCTGAGGTGAAGTCACATCCATTTTAGAGAAGGGGTATTCTCCCAGCCTCCTCTCTAACATCTGAGATCACGTAGATTTTTTTTTATTATGATGTTATGTTAGTCACCATACATTACATCATTAGTTGTTGATGTAGTGTTCCATGATTCATTGTTTGTGCATAACACCCAGTGCTCCATGCAGTACGTGCCCTCTTTAATACCCATCACCAGGCTAACCCATCCCCCTCCTCCCCTCTAGAACATCACATAGATTTTTAAAAAGTCTTTTGATCTGGCCCACAACTGGGCCTCTCTAAGGCAACTTTCCCTCCATACATGTGGCATTCTGATGTCAGTACCTGAGACCACTTGAGGCCCTGCCTGTGGCTTTTGACAAGCTTTGGCCGGGCCCACAGCCCTGAGATCTGAGAAAATCAATACCTCGGTTTGCCTATAACTCTGCTCTAAGGCATAAGAGACACAGACGTGCGCTATCATAAGAAGTATTTGAACATATTCTTCTAGGGTCTTGCTGGCCAGCAGACTCCACTGATGCCCTGTGTGCCTTTGAAGAGTACAGGGAATCCATCTCTGACCTCAGCCAGCGCCCCAGCGGGTGCAACTGCAGAATGTACCACATCCACCACACAGAGAAAACGGGGGATGCCTCGTGCACAGAAAAGGTACAGTTCTAGGTGCTAAAATAGAAACCGTTTCCCTTTCTTCCATGATCTCTCTCCCAACTCATCATGGTGGCTTTTTTTTTTTTTTAATTTGCTATTGAACTCTGTTCTTAGTTTTAAAAGAATTAAAATATCGCATGAGTTTCATTGGTCATCTTTATACTGTACGTTGACAGTTTGAAATGAAAATACAAGCGCATTTCACTCTAATGTGGAAACCATCGAAATTGCATAATCTGTACTTCTTGGCTGGTGCGTATGTATTTTGTTCTCACCAAGACAGTGAAAACATTGCACCAAACTAACTCAACTGTTTCCATTTCACTTCTTGATACTCACACCTTCTATCAACCCTCTCTACCTTTGGCTTCCTGGCAGGTAAGGAAGGCCAGGAGGAAAAGGAGCTTTGGGTGGCTCTGCTTTTCCCCTTCCTTCCATGTCCTACTGTGAGGGTGAGTGCTTGCCAAACAGAGAAGTAACACAAGTAAGAAACACTATGATGAGGTTCACTGGCCATTTGTGTGACTTAGAACACCATCACCCCCTTTCTGCATTCCAGGCGAGTTCTCACTCAGACGAAGGCATGGCCCTTGGGGTCAGCAGTGCTCCTACTCACCAGTCCCAGGTGCATCGTGTTTGCTGGTGCCCACTTGTGTCTTGCTGGACTCCCTCACACCCCCAGGGGGCACCGGAAGTTTGTGCTCATGGGCCATCCCCAAGGCTATATGAGAAAGCAGGGATGAGGCACGGCAGACACACACAGTATGCCTTCTCTCATGTGGCCTGTTATGCTCTCCCATCAGGCTTCACATACAAAGCTCACATTCAAAGGTAAAATTTCAAGATGGCGGAAACAGAGCATTAAAGTGAGCACAGGGCCCTTCGGAGTGCAGGACCCTGTGGGATACAGGTTACACACCCACGATGCTGGCCTGGGCACCCAGACTGGGATGGGCCACACACCTGGAGCCATGTGCGGCTTCTCGAGTCATGTCTGGAAAACATTCACTACCCAGACAGGGGAGTCTTGAAAATAAGGACCCATTTCCTGGAGAATAATGAACCCTTGAAATAATGAATATGGTCATTCAGCCTGGGTGGGCGCCGGTTATCAAAAAGGAAGCTCTGGGCCTTACCTGAGAGCTTGTTGAGCAAATTGTAGAAAGTCACTTGAGAAGGCACTGAGATGATCCCTTTCACAAAAAAAAAAAAATCCGAGAGAGGAAATCTGAGGTCTGGGTGTGAGTGAGGAACCACACAGATGAGCTCAGCCCTGGAAATACTTTAGAGATGAGTATGAGCAAGGTTTTCAAGACCCATGGGGCCTACAGGCAGTGGTTTGAGGAAAAGGGGACCTCCAGTGTGTACAGTGGGAAACAGCTTGAACGGGCCGACTAAAGTAGGGGGCAGGCTGGTAGAGAGGGCAAGAGAAGGAAGAAAGGAGGAAAAAACCCTGTTTTGGAAGCAGCCATGTGAGGACCTTTGAGAAGAAGGGAAGATAGATTATGTGTGAGGTGCTGTTGTTTGAACTCTGAAGGCGGGACTCTGAGTCCAAACTTCAGAAAATAAGAGGAAGCAATTACCAGAAACAGTGAATGCAGGGAGCAAGGGAGAAGATAGGGGAACGTGTTGGCAGGGGGCTCTGAAGCCTGCATGCAAGGGACAGAGGAGGTTACTAATCGATGGTTTGGCTTTGCAGATTTGGAGTGTCATTCCGAGGTCATTTGTACATCTATTTGAAACTGACTGCCGTGCACAATTGTGTATCACGGTCCACAGACCACAGTGGTCGTCCCCAGGATTGCCCAGGTCCTGGTTTCATGCAGCTGCGTCTTCCCTTTCCCTTAGGTGTGCATGGCACCTGTGACATGTTTCTAACAGCTAGAAAACAACAAAAGTGACGGGATGTCTGTGGCTGCATACGTGAGATTACATTGCGCGGGACCGAAATGTCCATCCTGCGGAAAGTGCCTCTCCCTTGCCGGCTTTGGGAAGCAGGAAGCGTGTTGGTGAGGCCCAGGGAGCAAGGAACTGAGGACAACAGAATGCAGCCAGCCCTTACCTGGTCCAGCGTCAACATGAGCTTTATGACCTATGAAAGTCAAGGTAGGCTTTCTAAAGTTCCGTACCCATGTACTGGTTATCCATTGCTGCGTAACAAATGAACACAAACATGGAGGCTTGAAAGAGCATGCACTCATCATCCCACAGTTTCTGCGGGTGTGGCTCAGACCTCGATGGCAGTCTTGTGAGCACCAGAGCAGGAGCTCCAACCATGCTGTGTCTCCCTCCAGACCCACAGGAACTAGGAGATAAGTGTGTGCCTCCCTGGCGGTTTCATCCTTCCCACCATCCTGAACTCAGGACCATGTTGAAGGTTCTATCACCTTTACTTCAGTGGCTTGGTGGTCACCTCCTGCAGATGAGTTCCCAAACCAATAGTTCCAGCTCTGAACTGCTCCCGAGTGCCAACTTCCATCTTCAATTTCCTGAAGTCACTAATTCAAAGAGTCAAACAGTTATTATCTAGTCACTCGAGTATTTAACCAATGTTTGCTAAGTGACTTCTCTGTGCCAGGCACTGTTCTGGGCACTGGAAATGAACGAACATCCCTGCCTTTATGCCATTTATTTTCTAGTGTGGGAGGAGACAGATGCTGAATGTTTGTTGGATGACGTTAAAAGCTAAAGAGAAAAAACAAATCAGAGAGAGGGATATAAAGTGCCAATGTGGGGAGCTGAAATTTTATACAGGGTGGACAGGTGTAAAAACATGCAAGTAAGAGGGCAAGCCAGGCATGTGTCAAGGAAGAAAGTACTCCAGAGAGAGGGAACAGTAAGTGCAAAGGCCCTGAGGCAGAGTGTGCTATTTGAGGAACAGCTAGGAAACCAGTGTGGCTGACATAGAATGACCAAGACAGGGAGAGTGATAGGAGATTAATTCAAGGAGGGAAGGAAAAGGACAGATTTTGGAGGGTCTCATAAGTCATTGTACCAGGGCGCCTGGGTGGCTCAGTTGGTTAAGCGACTGCCTTCAGCTCAGGTCATGATCCTGGAGTCCCGGGATCGAGTCCCGCATCGGGCTCCCTGCTCGGCGGGGCGTCTGCTTCTCCCTCTGACCCTCCTCCCTCTCATGTCTCTGTCTCTCATTCTCTCTCTCTCAAATAAATAAATAAAATCTTTAAAAAAAAAAAAGTCATTGTACCATTTTGACTCGCAGTGAGATGGGTGTGATTGGGAGATTTTGAATGGGGTTTGCTACTGTGATAGCAGTAGGGATAGACTGGAGGGGGACGAGGGCAAAAGTAGGACTTGCTTATTCACTTCTAGAACAGCATCAGACACATACGTATTGGTCACGAAATAAATGCTTAACACTTGAATGTTGTCAAATCTATTGATCTTTTACAATTTTTTAAATTAATGTTGTCTTAAAAATACTTTCTAAATTTGGTGTGGTAATTAGAAACGGCCTTTCCTACAATTACATTCTAAAGATAATTAACTTACATTTTCTTCTATCACTCTCACAATCTCATTTCTTAAATTTGAATTTTCATCTATCTACAATCTATTCTGGTGAAAGGAATAAAATTAGGAAGCCAGCTTTATAATTTTCCAAATGGCTAGTCATTCATCCAAGCTCTGCTTATTATATAATCTAACTGTCTCCTACTGAAAATCTGTTGAGATTTAGTTCTTATTCTGACATAAATATGAGCTATTGATAAAAACCATTCTTATGCCTACTTTGTCATCCTACCTATTTCCACAAACAGAGGCATCTATGTACCATATAAGGTTGTTGATTGATGATCACTACCTAAATTACCTGCTAACACAGTGATTAACAGTTCTATCTCTTACTTTTCATCACCAACAATTACTCCCTGTGATTTAAAAATTAGGAGGAAAAAAAAACAGGGAAAAACAGAAACAAAGAGTCACAAAATTTCCCCAAGTCTACATGGGAACAGATTTGAATGTTTAATATCACTCTGTCTCTACTGCACGGGATGAGAAAGCAAACAAGAAGTTAGATACAAGGAAAACCTTTTTCTTTCCCTCCATCTTCCAATCCTGTGAAATATTTCCATTTTAATTGAAAATGGGAAATGGGAAAAATTACGTAAAGAACTCACCAGGAAAAAAAGCCTATTGTCACAGTAGTCCAAGAAATGTTGTTAGAAAGTCAATAACCAACATTTACAAAGTGGGGATGGCTGCGACACTCCTAGGAGCGTCGGGATCGGACATTTGGGTTGAGTTATGTAACCAGATATTCCATGAGAGGTTCAATCTGTCATCCTGCGTTTGGTTGATTTCGTGTCCTCAGCTTCAAAGAAAGGGATGCCTGAAGGTCACCCGGGGAATCCTAGGGAAGGTGAGTCACTGAATGTGGGCCTCCACAGCAGTGGATGTGGGGCCCCATGAAAGCCTCCAAGTTCAGCTTCTTTTGGAAATAAGAGCAGGTGGTGCTGTTGTCCCAGGAAAGAAGTGTGATCAGACACCTGGCGCTCTAAGGTTTGTAAAGGAAAAGCTGCCAGGTCCCACGGGGAAACACTCTCCTTCCTCTGCAGGGAAAGGGACAGGGAGTTCAGAAACAAGACTGGGCTGATGTCCAACCCCACGTTTCTGGGGCAGCTGGTCCCCGGGCAGAGGCGTGCATGTGTCACCAAAGAGGTTTCTCCCAACTGCAGCTCGGGCAAAGGAAAAGGGACAGCGCCCTTCAAAGGACAGCAGCAGACAAGGTGCACAGATCCTTTCAGTAAAGAGTGGACCAGGATGTGGCCAAAGAGTACGAACTCTCTAAGATAAATAAGTGGCAGGGATGTAACATACAACATGATCACTGTAGGTAACACTGCCTATATTTCGAAGTTGCTAAGAGAGCAAATCTTAAAAGTTCTCCTTACAAGGAAAAAAAAACATTTTTTATCTTTTTTTAGATACCTATATGAGAAGATGGATCTTAAGAAAACTTGTAATCAGGGGCGCCTGGGTGGCTCAGTCGGTTAAGCGACTGCCTTCGGCTCAGGTCATGATCCTGGAGTCCCGGGATCGAGTCCCGCATCGGTCTCCCTGCTCGGCAGGGGGTCTGCTTCTCCCTCTGCCCTCTTCCCTTTCATGCTCTCTGTCTCTCATTCTCTCTCTCTCAAATAAATAAATAAAATCTTAAAAAAAAAAAAGAAAACTTGTAATCATTTCATAATATATGGAAGTCGAGTCATTGTGTTGTCCACCTTAAACTTATATGGTGCTGTGTATCAATAATATCTCAATAAACTGAAAGGGAAAAAAAAGATAGAGCCTGAAAAAGGGGGGAAAAATGTCAAATAGTTGCAACAGAAACTGTCTGGCTCACAATGCCTAAAATAACCATCTGGCTCTTGACAAAAAAGTTTGCAGACCCCTTCCTCAAAACAATAAATATAGCTTTATTACCACAAAATTGAAAAATATGTGTAGACCTATGGTTTTTATATAATTGAAAGTAAATGAAATATTAAAGACAACTAAATTCAATTATGATTTCAAATCATTCGTCTTGTGTTGTGGCCAGCAAGATTTGGATGAGTAATACATTTATAAAGATGCAATAAATTTATAAATTTATCTCATATATCTTCCATTGATATGTTCATAAAATTAAGTTTTCTCTTAATTTTAATAAATTCAATGTTTTATCATTTAGATTTCACATAATTTGTGTTGTTGATAGTAAAGATTGGAAGATTAAAAATACAATATAACTGTACTTGAAGTATTCGATATTTTCCTAAATTTTCACAAAACTTCTAAGTAAATGTAAATTTTAAATTATTTTTCATATTTTGTTTCAAAAACTTTTTGTTCTACAATACTCAAAATGTATTAGATTTTAACAAATAAATAAATTATTATTTTCAAATTTAAGTCAAAGTGATATAAAAATCAAATTTGTATTTACTTTTAAAAATTTAATAAAACCTTTAAAAAATATTTTTATAACATTGAAAAAAAAGAAGACCAAGGTGATGGCTGAACTGTTTACAACGAGTTTTCAAAATCCACACGTGAAATCATGAGAAACAATAGGAAGAACAATTAACAAATTGCCAGTGCTTTTTTCCTCAGGGATGAAGTCAAACTGAGGACTACATAAACCCTGGCAGTTTTGAGCAATTCAGGAAGGGGAGAACCCTGAGATGGAAATCCTGAATTTCTTACTAGTGGGTCATATATCATAAAACTGGAAAAAAAAGAAACATGATCCTTTCTGGACCTCAAGGTTGCAACTTCCATCATGCCTACTACTTTTGGAAAGAGGCTTTTTAATAATGTTAGGAATATAATTTCTATCTGCTAATTGAATTGGTAACAGTGATGAGTGATAAAGGTTATATTTGCTTTGTTTCCTTAAGTTTTGTTCAGTAAGTTTATAGTTTGGGGGGGGGGATGAAGTTCATTCTGCTTAGATTTAACAGTTTAAATATATGGACATTACTTTGATATGCTTAATAGCCTAATGAAACAGAATTGTCCAGGGTTGGATTGCAGGTTACCTTTAGTCTTGGCTAGGGGCTCTGGGGTGGTTCAGTTCGTTAAGCAGCGGATTCTTAATTTCCACTCAGGTCATGCTCTCGGGGGTTGTGAGATCGAGCCCGACATCGGGCTCCACACTCAGCAGGGAGTCTGCTTGAGATTTTCTCTCTCTTCCTCTGCCCCTACCTCCTCGCTCTCTCTCTCAACTAAATAAATAAATCTAAATAAATAAATAAATAAATACCCTCGGCCAAATACTGTTTACCTGACAGCAGCCAAATCTAATTCTAATGATGGTAAATATCCAAAGATGTTGAAGTTGAAAGCCCAGCAGCAAAGATGTATTCCCAGGGAGTGAAACGATATTCTAAAAATTTTAAGTACACCTCACCATTTCCACATAATGTCTGATGATGTATTTTCAGGATTTTTATTATTCTTTCTATTCTTTTCTTCTGCATCTAACCAGCTTACATCCTGCTGGGGTTAAATCTATCCCCGCTTGATTTCCATCTTTGACCCAGTTGTATTACATTTGTGAAACTTATCACTAGTGTCAATTTCTTTCCTTTTTTTTTTTTGTTTGTTTGTTTTCCACTTGCTTTTCTACAATATTAAGGAGTAAAAATGAAAGTAAATATTCAAATAAGTATGCAAATAGTGCAGGGAGAAAAACCTAACAAATCTGTGGAAACTGAGCTGGCGCCTGGCAGGGGGCCCCCCATGTGGTGTAGTGCACAATTTCCTTTGGTTCGAAAATATAGGCGAATCCCATGTAAGGCAGTCGAAAGGTATCAATGCATGATTTGGGGAAGAATATGTTCTACAGCAGTCAAATATGTGAAAGACAACAGACAAAATATGGAAAAACCAAAAATGACCTCTGGAAGTTTGAAAAGATGCATTGCAACCTTCAAATATCCAGGCGTGAGCCAAGTCGGAAGGGCGTATGGCTCAACAGGGGGCGTCTCTCCATTTCTCCTGCATGGCCTGTAAACCAGTAAATGGCTCACGATCCAGACGGAGAGAGGCGGAGAGGGAGTCAACCCTTTCCCTCCCGACTGTTCAGTCCCCTTCTGTTTCTCTCCCACCTCAAAGCCAAACCAAAGGAGCAAACTAAGGAAAGCGCAGGGTCCGAGGATCCCAGGCACATCTGCAATGAATCCAACTAGAGCCTGCCAGGGAAGCTCATGTCTTAGAAAGAACAGGACAGTGGGAACATTTGCTCTGGCTTCAGAGGGAGGGGGAAAAAATGAAATTGGTAATGAAGCCGAAGCACCATGTCAATTGCTTAAAGTTCACTCACATTTAACATTTCACACACCATTTACATTCCTGTTCTCTCTCCACCAAGTGAAAAAGGCAGTGGTGCCCTTTGGGGTTTAGCAGGACGGTTGGCCTCCCTGAAGTGCCTCTCTCTCTGTCACTCTCCCTTCCGCTTTTTCCTGACTCAGTGGCGAGAGGTCTTCATGCCAGTTGAAACCATCTGTGGCTCAGCAACACTCCGCCCCCAACGGAGCACCAAGAAATCACACAGGCCCTTCGGGCGTGGAAGAGCAACGATCCTCCAGTGGAGCCCGGCTTCGTTGTGCAGCTCCCTTCGCAGACCCCGGGGAGCCTGCTGTTGCGTTCTGGAGCATTGCCTGGCTTGATCAGTGAGATCACCTGCAGCTCTGCTATCTCACATCGGGCATTCCAGAGAGACCTGACAAGTTTACTTCACCATTTACCGAGCCACTTCTCTGTTCCAGGCTGCTCTAGGCTGAACCATGCCCCGGCCCCCATTTATGTGTTGCAATCCCAACCGGCAGTCCCTCAGAATAGAACCGTATGTGGAGATAGGGCATTTAAAGGGGATGATTAAGCTACAATGAGGCAATTAGGGGGCCCTAGTCCAATGTGACTGGTGTCCTTAGAAGAAGAGGAAATGTGGACACACGCAGGGAGACACCAGGGGTGCATGGAGGAGAGACCGCGTGCAGAGGCAGCAGAGGGTGGTTGTCTTCAAGCCAAGGAGAGAGTTGTGGGGTAAGAGAAACCCTAGCTCAAACAGGCTTAAATTAAAAAAAAAAAAAAAAAAGCCCCCTCACCTTCAAACTTTCCCTCAAGGAGACAAAATGGCTGCTGTGATTCCAGACTTCATGTCTTCACACCAAAACACTCCGGGGTAAGACCTTGTCTTTGGGCTTTACTTCCCAGAAACCTCAGCAAAGATCCCTTTTACATTCGTGGCTGAGACGCTGCAGCCAGGATTATGGAATAGAGTAATTGACTTAAGACAATAAGGTTCCCACCCGGGGCACCTGAGTGGCTCAGTCGGTTAAGCATCTGCCTTCAGCTCAGGTCATGATCCCAGGGTCCTGGGATCGAGCCCCACATCGGGCTCCTGGCTCAGCGAGGAGCCTGCTTCTCCCTCTCCCTCTGCCTCTCTCCCTGCTCATGCTCTCTCTCTGTATCTGTATCTCTGTGTCTCAAATGAATAAATAAAAAATAAAATCTTTAAAAAAAAATAAAATAAGGTTCCCACCCAAAACACAGAGCTGAGGGTCTCAGGATGGAGATGGGAGAGACTTCCGGATACCTTGTTAAATAAAGGTTTCCAGGGGCTGGGGGGAGGGGAGAATGAGAAATTATTATTTAACGGGCACAGAGTTTCTGTTTGGGATGACCACAAGGCTCGGGAAATAGATGGTGGTGAGAGTGCGGCTGAACTGTACACTTAACAACGGTTAAAATGGCAAACTGCATGTTACCTCTATTTTGCCACAAGAAATTAATCTAAAAAATAAACTTAAAAACTTTCTTAACACATTCCACGTGCATGCCAGCTGAAGCCAGTTGGTATTTCATCCCCAAAGTGCCCCTCTGCCACTGAGAATAGCCCTTGGGAACCCTCCCTAGCCACCGAACCAGGGCCAGGCCCAACGGGCATAAAAAGAAACCTGCCAAATGTCAACACAGAGAATTATGCTCAGATTGTATTGAACACTGGCCTGTGACAGGGCTCAGGAAATACCGTGCTATTCACGAGAGCAGAGAACCCTTATCTTAGACTGCCAGATATTTCATCCGGGGAGATAATTAAGGTCAAGTCTCTTACTGGTGGTTTGAATGGGGCAAAAAGAGTGGGCTTTTTAACAAATATTTGCTAGTGGCATTTTTTAGTGTCTAGAGGAAGGGAACAAGCTCCAGTGGGGCAAGTGACAGCTATAAATGGAAAAGGAGCTGCAGCATCTGTTTTGTCCTGTGTCTACGTATAGTGAGGTACCTACGCAGAAGTCTCAGCCAAACCTTCCAGAGAGTGGAGTTCTTGCTTCTGACAGCTACAACAAAGCTGAGCAGATTGCTCTGTGATAAAAGCCACGCCACTGCATCCTGTCTCCAGCAAGTGAAAAACCAGGTGCGAGGCAGCCACCTAGCTGCAAGGTGAGTTCAGTGTCATGGGACGTTCTGAGTAGCTGTTGTTCAAAAAACAATGAATTTACATCCATGACACCCTGTGTCAATTTCAGAATGATTTTATCATGCCCACTTTTGTGCCGCCGCTAAGCTGGAAAATGTGGACTGTGACATACTGAAGCAGAAAAGGAACAAATTTGCATGTTACTGGGCTGGAAGAGCCTTTGATTGTTGGAGACGCCCGATGATGCTGTCAAGCACCGGCAGACAGGGCACCTGGGACGCACCAGATCTCTGCTCCCGGCAGCTGACAGCAAACTACTGAGTCAGCACAAGATCAAAGAGTTGGAACTGTCTCAAGTAAAAGTGTTAAAAACACAAAGAAGCCGGCATCTTGATAAGAGGACATCAAGAGGCAAGAAATGCACAGAGAGAAAGAAAACGACCTTGAGTCTATAATATGTTACAAGCCTCGGAATTGTAAAAACGCCTGATACAAAAAGAAAAGGTGCAGCTCAAGTGAGAGTTGCAGAGTGAAAAGGTTGGAAGTTGTATGCTTGTCACAATGCAAGAAGAGACAGGGGAGCACTAGAGTTCCGCAGGATTATGACTGAGATTACATGTCTGTGTTCAAGGCTGATCACTTGCTTGCACAAGTAGGTCTGTGACTTCAAGCTCCGACACATACGCGTTTTAGCTGAGTGTGCCTCCTTGGCGTCAAGCGCAAGACTTCGGAAATACAAATACTCTTTTAAGAAGGAAAGAACCGATCCCTGGCAACAGTCAAGTCAAAGCTTGCTATTTAAAGAAGCAAATAAAAATATTGGAAATGAGACATTCGGTAGAAACATTAATGATAAATTTGCTGCTTTGGGAATTGGCTTTTCAGCAAAGTGAGCCATATAATAACATACCTATCAGTGGGGGAATATATTAACGATTCCCTTCAAGAGAGGGCTTCATCTTCTGGCAGCATTCTAAGTGTTTCAAATCTGACTCCCCAGTTGTTTTTTTTTTTTTGCCTTTTTCTTACTTTCCATAAAAACAGCTACCGTCACCATGTCTGGGATCCCCATTGGAGAGAACCACCAAAGAAGGAGAATAACAGGTAGCTCCAGCTGGGAAATTTTGAGCCTCCATTTTTCTCATGTAAACATGTCTCAGAATAAGCCAAACAAAACAAAACAAAAGGGATGGCGGGGGCGGGGGTGGGGCGCCTGAGTGGCTCAGTCTATTAAGCATTGGACTCTTGATTTAGGCTCAGGTTATGATCTCAGGGTCATGAGATGGAGCCTCACTGAGCGTGGAGCCTTCTAGAGATTCTTTCTCTCCTTCTCCCTCTGAAAAAAAAGAAAGAAAGATGAAAGAAAGAAAGAAAAAGAAAGAAAGAAAGAAAGAAAGAAAGAAAGAAAGAAAGAAAGAAAGAAAGAAAGAAAGAAAGAAAGAAAAGAAAAGAAAGAAAAGCCCTGCCCTGTATTTCCCCCTTTAATCTTTACCTGGGTACACATACTAGAAGGGGAAACTATAAAAACTAGATAGCATGCTTTCTTTACTCTTTGAGTCCCTTTTCAATCACCTAATAGCAGATAAGCCACCGTGGGCACCCAAATAAATATTTGCTTTTGGTACCATCCTGCCAATAGTCTAGTCTTGAAAAGTGAATTTTCCACAGTGAAGGACATTTCCTGACACCGTTCATGCCTTCAGCTGAACTCAGACACTTAGATCCGGCTTCAATTCAGTGATTCAGTATTTTTTTCAGAAAACTTCTAAAAACTTTTTCAAAATTTGCCAGCTTCTCGATAACAGTTTTTAATTGAAAAAGAAATTTCTCCAACCTCCAGCTATGGTATGATCATATAAATAATATTGTATGATAAATTATCCCCTGTGTATATTTGACAAGCATAAAAGAGTTTTGCCTGGTGGCTGAAATGTTCCCCCAAACTTTTATGGTTTGCTGTTGAACATTCAACATTTCAAAATATATTAAAAAGGAAATTCTAAGAGCCTTAATTATGACTACGGTGCCTGCACAGGAAATCATTTCCCTCTAAATATTGTGCTTTATCTGTTCTGATTTCTGAATTCATGGCAAATCTTTCAGTATCTGGTTTTTGTTTGTTTGTTTGTTTGTTTTCCCAACCCAGGCAATTAACCACGGTAGAGGAAAATAGCTCTGAGAACTTTACCACATGGTGCAATTTTCTAATAAAACACAAGAGGGCAGGTTTTGCTTTATTGTAAGCCTAATTCCACTGCTGTTCATCAGGATGGTCGTTGCGCTAATTACACATTCAGAAACAATAACATACAAAGTGAATGAGTCATCAGAGTGTGTGCTCTGGCAGTGAAATCTCTACTATTTTAATGAAGGACAAGCTTAAGCCTTTCTATGAGGCATTATTGACGACAGAGCACAACTACACTTGGGGGAAACAGTGATAGTTTTAGCAAAGAATGGCTTGAAGAAGGACGGACCAAATTCAGTCATGTTACATCCCTGAAGTCTGACTTGAGTCAATGGGGCAAATAACACAGGTAGGTTAAGGATTTTTGCCAAAGAGACACAGTCTTGATGAGAATGTATAAAGCATACACGCTTTGAACAGGAACCTTGAGTTTTGTTTTATTTTCTTTTAGACAACTTCCACTTATCATATTGCTCACAATTTTCTTGCATGTTGTTTTCAAGATTTCATTAAACTACCTGCCAAAGCGTAATTACATTCACAGGGGTTATTTTCAGCTTGAATTACCCTTGTAGCTAAAGCCAAAGTAGCATGTCATCCCCGGACAGTTTCTGAAGGAATTCGTGGGTCCATCTGCATAAGAAAGGCACTGGTTTTTCCCTCTTCATAATTCGGCCGCTAACTCCTTCCACTGAAACAAGGCTTTTAAGACATCAGATAGTGGAAGACCCTAAAATGATATCATGAGGTCTTCACTTTCTATCCTAGTCCCTATAAATGGTAGAATTAAGGTCTACCGATGGTGGGAAGAAGAAAGTAGCTGGATGTGTATACTTGCATTAGGTTGCATGGAGTAAATGTCCACATAGTGTAATGGACAACTCAAAATCTGAAAGAGAGGTTGTCACTAATTTCATGGCAGGGATTGAAGATCCCCCTATCTTATGTTTTATCCAGCACATGTTAAAACAGATACCAGAGGCCCTGAATGAAAAGTTCTACCTTGAGATGAGTTCATTCCTTAAAGAATGTTTATAAAATACTCAGGATGAGCAAGGCTCTGTGGAAATAGGAAAATTTGAACCTTGGGTTTTGGCATTGCATTGGGGAGAGTAATTATTTCCCCACTGGCAAGTGAACTGGCTCTTTTATGTACCCGTATCAATTAACAACCAACATTTTCTGGGTACTTAAAGTGCTTTGATAAAATGGCATTGGAGCATAGAGAGAGGTGTCCAATCTGACCTCTAGAAGCTTCCATTCTAAATATGGAAGCGAACTCCACACAACCATTACTTCATTGACTCTAACTTCTTTCTTCTGGGGTCTCCAACAAAATGATTGAACCAGAAGGCTTCCCAGGAGGATCAGCAAGTTAGTTGCTATGGGACCTTGCCTCCCTGGTCAGTGACTTGAAGTAGCCACCCTACCCCACCTCCACCCCGAGATCAGCCTTTAGACCGTGGGCACATCAAAAGTAACTCATCACTTGGGAAGAGGTGTGAGGTTGTAATTATGTATTTTATATATATTTGTATATACATATACAATTGTAAGTATACATATGTAATTATGTATTGTATATATATATACACATATATTCCAATACATGCATACCGAGTGCCAAAAAGATGGGAATTGACGTTCACAAATTAAAAACAATAGCCTCCAACAGATGAACAATAATCTGCAAAACATTTATTTTTATTTTCCTCTTTAATAAATTTTTTATTTCTGGTTAACATGAGATTAAAATTATTCATTAGGATGATTATAATTAACAGTGTTAAATCCTAAGCAAGACACAAATTAATAACAAAGAATTTTAGAATTAGAAGGGAATTTAATTCACAAAGGAAAGAGGCTATTAGATTTCATTCACTTCTGAATGTTAGCTTTATAACAGCATCTCTTCTGAAACAGTAATTCATATACATACAGTTTTTCTAATTCTGAGGATATAAGCATGTAAAGTGATCTATTCATTTTCTTCAAGGTTGATGTTTTCCCCCCATCATTGAGAAAATTAACCCTACAACGCTTCGTAGTATTTTCTGAGTTTATTTGCATAAGATTCCGTGTAAGTAAATACTAACTTGTTCATTCTAACAGGTTTGTTCTACCTTTAAATTTCTTAAAAGACATTCATCACAAACTGACTGTAATGTCAGGAAATGTTAGAAAAATTTATTCCTCTTCTATGAGCTAAAAAATTAAGAAATCGTTTCTCTTAGGAAGACATTATAAAACATTATATTTATAAGAAGTTGCATCTTCTATAGATAAAAGTGGCTAAGTATAAATGATTACCCTCTATTTCTACCTCAGATAAACCTTGCTTTAAATAAATTATGTGGGAATGCGATAAATGAAAATTCTGATGTACCAGAGAGGCAAGAGAGAGGTGGTTATTTGCTTTATGGAATTATTCATATAGTTCATCTATAAAAAGTCATTTTCCCTGCTACTTTTATTTTTATTTTATTTTTTTAAGATTTATTTTATTTATTTGAAAGAGAAAGAGAGTGAGAGAGAGCATGAGTGGGAGGGGCAGAGGGAGAGGGAAAATCTCAAGCAGACTCCCAGTGGAGGGCAGAGTGGAACACAGGGCTCCCTATCACGACCCTGAGACCATGACCGGAGCCAAAACCAGGAGTCAGGCCCCCAGCAGACTAAGCCATCCAGGTGCCCCTTCCCTGCTACTTTTAACATGTAATTAATTTAAATGTAACTTTTTGGAGACACACCTACCATGCACAATTATATCTTCATTTCAATATTTCTCTTTTGGTTTAGAAACAGGATGTAAAACTGTATTCCCCAACAACCCTGAGTTTGGAACATAAACCTTCCAGAGTGGAGTACATTCATGAAACTTTGCCAAATTTTCCATAGATCCTGTTAAAAGCAGGAACTGAGATCTACGTGTGGGGGGGGTGGGTAAAGAGACCCAAGCAGGGCTTCGGCCCATGAAGGACTCTGGGCTATTTTGATTCTCATCTGCTGAGCCCACTCTCAGATATGCCTATAAGCTTTATGAGGCTCGCTCAGACTCAAATTTGGTTCCAATGGGGCTATGTCCATTTCTCCGGCTTTCACAGTCTTATTTTGGGGGGATAACACTGTGTCTTGATGAATCATGCACCATCTAGCCCCCTCCCTCCTATGTAGAAGGCAGCTAACTCCAGGGTCCTCTTCTCCTTCCCACCCATCCTTCACACACATCCATTCCAGTAGAGAGTAGCTGAAATGAGTGGACAGACAGGCTACCTTCCAGAACTATGGCCTCACCCCTGAAGCACAGGTACCAGATATGAGCAGATGAAATTTACCTTGCAATCTCAGTAACCGCTAACTTCTCAGAAGTAGGGATCATCTCGGTAAGCCTGAGCATCTTAGTAAATAAAGATGGCTTCATTCTTATCTCTCATGATATGATGATTACTTAGTGGAACATAACCATTTAATTCTGAAATGTTATATTTTATATGGATGGTTTGCTTTTAAAGGATAAGACTTAATTGATTAGCATTCATAAGTAACTGTCAGCACAGTGTGGCATTAATAAAATCGGAAGTCAACTCTTAAAAATAAACCAACTGCAATATACATGGATAATTTTTCATCTGAGGCTACCTGGTAAAGAAACTGGTTCAGGATCAGTCAAATGAGACCTCAGAGCAATGGAAGTCTACTCAAATTGCCAGGATTCTAGCCTCACAGCCTTTTTCTGCCATCTTTTCCTGGAAGAAGTGGTTCTATGCGGGTTAGTAGATTTAACACAGTATATTCGTTAACTAGAAAACTCTATAATTTAATCTCTCATTTATTTTTCACTATAGAATCAATGTTTATCCAGCTACTGAATCTCATGATATCATGTCTCCTGTTAAGAACTACAGATTTTTATAAAATCTGGAAAGTCTAATTTACAAAAGAGAACCAAACTGATCATTCATTCCTTCCTTTACTCTCCATCCTATTTGGAAAATAAGGCCTATTTTCATCTTCAAGGCTGTTTTAAAGGCTGGAGAAGAAAAGACACAGAAAGGAGAAAAATAAGCCACAGAAAGATGATCAGGAAGGCATCTAAAAGCACAGCTGTTTATAGCGAACCTCATGGAGACTCAGGAAGCATCTGCCACCCCCACCCCCTGCCCCATTCCAACTGAAGACACTTGGGCGAAGAAAAAATGAACCATGATCTTGCTCAGGTCTCAATTTACAAGGACCTGCAAATTAAAATGAATCTGCTCTATCAGTTGTGTGTGTGTGTTTGTGTGTGTGCGCGCGCACTCTCACATGTCTTTTCAGAACATGAGGAGGCTTAATCAATATGGGGAATTATTATCAGATACCACAAATTGTCAGCTCTACCTTTGTTTGATGGTAAAGATAGCCTCAAACATTCCAGTTTGTGTTTGTTAAACAACGAGTAGACCAGAGACTACAGCTAAGCACCTTCTGTATTGGGGATGATCACCTTAATAGGGGGGACTGCGTCAAACGTCTTCAGCTAAAGGAAGAACACTGAGTAATAGTTTGTTCATCGGCAGGGTCAGACCTACGGCTTGGCTGGTGCCTCTCTAGAGGAAGGCGTGAGCTCTCTAGGCTTCTTCTGTGTACTTCTTGTTGCTTAAATGTGTCTCCACTAGGGGTGTGTAGCCTTTTCGGAGTCTTCTGTACTGAAGGAAAAACAGCACCACAAAAACACCAACCAAAGCCACCAGCATCCCTATGACCACCAAGAGGGTTGTGGTCCAACCTCGAGTTTCTTCAACTGGAATTAAAGCAGAAGAGAAGGGTCTTCAATTGGGATTTTCATCAGCTGAATACTCTTAGAGAAGAAAAGAATGAACCAATTTGCTTTTCACATGCATTTTTGTTGATAAAGCAAAACTATACCAGCTAGAATAAAATTTATCTCCTTCCCCACCAACAATTTGTCATATCCACAATTGTTTTTCTTGAGGAAATGGCATTCCATTATTTAAATACAGCTGATTGCATGTTTTAAATTTCTTATAGTAAACACACAGAATAAACCCTCCAAGGAAGTATATAACTACTTTTGTGAGTTAGAAACTCATTTGTTAAAGTGTATGCTAAAGGAGTAACTGGGGAACTGGAAATATACAACCCGCAGGTGGAGAAATTCTGCTATTGTCTCTACCTTTTTATAGGGTGATAAATGTGTAAGACCGATCAGATGGGCTATTATAACAGAAGACATTCAACAACAGGAGCAGATGAAATCTGTACCCATTTAAAGGGTTGTGAATAAAATCTGAATCTTCCACCTGATAAATCTAATACTCGACTCAAATAATATTTTATAAGCACTCTCCACAAAATTAATGGATTTCATTTTAATGTACCTATGCCTGTCAGTCGTGTCTTTTAAAAACTCTCTTATCAGCTGTTCTTTTTTTTTACATTGTTTTAAAGATTTTATTTATTTATTTAAAAGAGAGAGAGCACAAGCAGGGGCGGGGGGAGGGACAGAGGGAGAGGGAGAAGCAGGCTCCCCGCTGAATGGGGAGCCGGACGCAAGGCTCCATCCCAGGGCCCTGGGATCATGACCTGAGCCAAAGGCAGACACTCAACGACTGAGTCACCCAGGCGCCCCTAGATCAGCTATACTTAAATTCAGTTTCTCTCACCTGGGTTCTTATTCTATACGCTATACTTGCCTAAATGGAAAATCCCCCTTCTAGTTTTTTCCTCCATTCCACAGAGGGCCCTTACTCATCCTGCAGGGATTCCTCCAAGATGACTATAATTTTTCTCCTCATGCTACAATCCAACATCTGTTGCCAGAACCATCTTCTTAAAAAACAGATGTTTAGGGGCGCCTGGGTGGCTCAGTTGGTTAAGCGACTGCCTTCGGCTCAGGTCATGATCCTGGAGTCCCGGGATCGAGTCCCACATCGGGCTCCCTGCTCGGCAGGGAGTCTGCTTCTCCCTCTGACCCTCCTCCCTCTCATGCTCTCTGTCTCTCATTCTCTCTCTCTCAAATAAATAAATAAAATCTTAAAAAAAAAAAAACCAGATGTTTATTCTGACATTTCTTTGTTCAGGAACCGAAAATGATTGTTCTTTTAATTGTGGTAAGATACACATGACGTATATTTCACCATCGTAGTCATTTTTAAGTGCTCCAGTCCAAGCATCAGTGCATTCAGCATTCTGCCACCATCACCACCATAGGACTTTTTTCATCCTGCAAAACTGAAATAATATCTCCCCAGTACCCCAGCCCTCCAGCCTCTGCAATCTCCTTTCTACTTTCCGTCTCTATAAATTTGACTACTCTAGAGACCTCACATAAGGCGAATCACACAGTTTTTGTTGTTTTGTGACTGGCTTTTTCATTTAGCATAATATCTTCAAAAATTATAGTCTCATGCAAATTAAGACTCATGCATGTTGTAGCATATGACAGGATTTCCTTCCTTTTTAAGGCGACATAATATTCCATCTGTGCATACACCACACTTGGTTTATCCATTCAGCTATCAATGGACAATGACTCTTCTTTTGTCTATTGTGACTAATGCTATGAACAGAGGTTTACAGATAATCTGTTTGGGTACTTGCTTTCAATTCTCTGCTGGATCATAAGGTAATCTGATGTTCAATTTTTTGAGGAGCTTCCTTATTGTTTTCCACAGAGGCCACGTACCACTCTGCATTCCCACCAGCAGTGCACAAGGCCTCCAATTACCCCACAGCCTCATCGGCACTTATTACCCACTGCTTGGTCAGTAATAACCAACCTAATGGGTGGAAAGCAGCATCTCATTGTGGTTTCTGCCTAGCTTTTTTTTTTTTTTTTTAAAGATTTTATTTATTTATTTGAGAGAGAGAGAGAGAATGAGAGAGAGAGAGCATGAGGTGGGGAGGGTCAGAGGGAGAAGCAGACTCCCTGCCGAGCAGGGAGCCTGATGTGGGACTCGATCCCGGGACTCCAGGATCATGACCTGAGCCTAAGGCAGTTGCTTAACCAACTGAGCCACCCAGGCGCCCGGTTTCTGCCTAGCTTTTAAGGCCGTCTCTAACCAGGCTCTTTTCACAGATCCAGACTTCATTCAGGGAATCTTCTTCCCAAGCCTTCTCCAGCCAGGCTTCTTCACGCAGTCCTCTACACAGACTACACCTTTCACAGCACTGTTCCCTGCCCTTCTTCAATTTAAAATGCTCCCTTCTCTCCGCCTCCCCTAGAGAAAATCCACCATCTCTTTGAATCTGACTCAAGACCCCTCCCCTTCAAGAAGCCTTTCCCAAAATTGGACTGCCACATGCAGAAGAATGACACTGGACCATTTCCTTACACCACACACAAAAATAGACTCAAAGTGGATGAAAGACCTAAATGTGAGACAGGAATCCATCAAAATCCTTGAGGAGAACACAGGCAGCAACCTCTTTGACCTCAGCCGCAGCAACTTCTTCCTAGAAACATCGCTGAAGGCAAGGGAAGCAAGGGCAAAAATGAACTATTGGGACTTCATCAAGATAAAAAGCTTTTGCACAGCAAAGGAAACAGTCAACAAAACCAAAAGACAACTGACAGAATGGGAGAAGATATTTGCAAATGACATATCAGATAAAGGGCTAGTACCCAAAATCAATGAAGAATTTATCAAACTCAACACCCAAAGAACAAATAATCCAATCAAGAAATAGGTAGAAGACATGAACAGACATTACTGCAAAGAAGACATACAAATGGCTAACAGACGCATGAAGAAGTGTTCAACATCACTCGGCATCAGGGAAATCCAAATCAAAACCTCAATGAGATACCACCTCACACCAGTCAGAATGGCTAAAATTAACAAGTCAGGAAACAACAGATGTTGGCGAGGATGCGGAGAAAGGGGAACCCTCCTACACTGTTGGTGGGAATGCAAGCTGGTGCAGCCACTCTGGAAAACAGTCTGGAGGTTCCTCAGAAAGCTGAAAATAGAGCTACCCTACGACCCAGCAATTGCACTACTGGGTATTTACCCCAAAGATACAAATGTAAGGATCTGAAGGGGTACATGCACCCCGATGTTTATAGCAGCAATGTCCACAATAGCCAAACTGTGGAAAGAGCCAAGATGTCCATCAACAGATGAATGGATAAAGAAGGTGTGGTATATACATACAATGGAATATTTTGCAGCCATAAAAAAAAATGAAATCTTGCCATTTGCAACAATGTGGATGGAGCTAGAGCATATGATGCTAAGCACAATAAGTCAGTCAGAGAAAGACAAGGATCATATGATCTCACTGATATGAAGAATTTGAGAAACAAGACAGAGGATCATAGGGGAAGGGAGGGAAAAATGAAACAAGATGAAACCAGAGAGGGAGACAAACCATAAGAGACTCTTAATCTCAGGAAACAAACTGAGGGTTGCTGGAGTGGAGGGGGGTGGGAGGGATGGGGTGGCTGGGTAATGGACATTGAGGAGGGTATGTGCTATGGTGAGTGCTGTGAATTGTGTAAGACTGATGAATCACAGACCTGTACCTCTGAAACAAATAATGCAATATATGTTAAGAAAAAAAAAAGAAGAAGAAGGTAGCGGGAGGGGAAGAATGAAGCGGGGGAAATCAGAGGGGTAGACAAACCATGAGAGACGATGGACTCTGAAAAACAAACTGAGGGTTCTGGAGGGGAGGGGGGTGGGAGGATGGGTTGGCCTGGTGGTGGGTGTTGAGGAGGGCACGTTCTGCATGGAGCACTGGGTGTTGTGCACAAACAATGAATCATGGAACACTTCATCTAAAACTAATGATGTAATGTATGGGGATTAACATAAGAATAAAAAATAAATTTAAAAAAAAGATAGTAAGAAGGGGAAAATGAAGGGGGGGAATCGGAGGGGGAGATGAACCATGAGAAACTATGGACTCTGAGAAACAAATTGGGTTTTAGCGGGGATGGGGGTGGGGGGATGGGTTAGCCCCGGTAATGGGTATTAAGGAGGGCACATACTGCATGGAGCACTGGGTGTTATACGCAAACAATGAATCATGGGACACTACATCAAAAACTAATGATGTACTGTATGGTGACTAACATAACATAATAAAATAAAACTTAAAAAAAAAGAAACCTTTCCCAAATGCCCCACTTCCTTCTCCAAACTTCAGCTATAGTTATGTCTCCCCAGGCAAGATTGTAAATTTCTTTGTCAGACCAATACGTGAAACATGAATTTGTGTCTCCTAATGAGTTAACACATTCTGGGCAAATTCAAACTCTCAGTCTACACCTGTTAATTAGCTGATGTCAGAGGAATGGAAGTAGGGGCAAATGCACATCCCAAACTTTGTGATTGTTACTATGTTCAATTCCAGAGAAAAGAGAATGAAGTTTCAAAAAGATATCTCAGTTGTCCTGAGAAAGGAAACTTTAAATCAGTAAGGAAAACAAGCAAAGTTGCAGGACTAGAAGGAAAGGCAAGGGACAGATTCCAGGGCTTAAAAGACTCTGAAGTCAGAGAGAGAGAGAGAGAGAGAGAGAGAGAGAGAGAGAGATGTCAGCTCACAGGTCATTATGATTACACCATAGGCAGAGATTTAGGGAAGATGGAATAGACACAAGTGGGGAAAACTCACCAGCAGATGGGCTGTGTGTTTTTTTGGGTTCTGGACAAAATAAGGTATTTTTTATTATTTTGTCTTTTCTTTCTCAACCTGTCCTAAGATTGTTTAAATGGCCCATGGGGCTATATTGGGGCTTGGGCAAATAGAAAAATATGTGTCCATATATATACTTATCAAAATATCCTCCCATATTTTTAACCAAGTGGAAAAAAGCTAATAAAAAATCTACAGTGTAAAAACATGACTTAAAGAACTTTAATTAAGAACACATATACGTGAAGCCCCATGCAGCCCAATCTGTTGGCAGGCCAATATCAACCTCATAAACCCACGCAACAGGGCTGGTATGGGCTAACTGGAAATAACTGGTCTCATTACAAAATAATGCAGGGTTGAATAAACAACAATAACAACTGCCTGTCTTTATTTAGAATTTTGATAGTGTATTCATCTTTTCTGCTTTAATTTTGATTTTAAGAAAATATTACATTACATTATTATTTATCTCAGTTACTGAATTTTTTGGTTTCCCCTTGAACTTTGTGCTCAGGGCAAGTGCTACACTTGCCTCACCCTAAACCAAGCCCTTCCTTCAAGTAATGATTCTCCAAGTCCTGATGATCCCCATCCACATGTGGCTAGTGCATTTTGATTTTATTGGCTAGACATTTCAAACCAGTTTTTTATTAATTCAGATTATTTATTATATATTAATTATATGCTATTATTTATTAATTCAGTCATCAAAGTAGTCCCTTTTCTGATGTTTAATTGGTAGTTTAAAGGCTCATTTTGCTTAATATATATATTCTAGAAAACAGCTAATAAAATTAACTAGACCTGAGTACTTGAATATAAGGTCTTGGTTTGCATTTTTTAAAAGAAAGAAAAGTCCTTCAGAAGATGAGTGGATTATCCCCACAGAAGTTGTATTTGTTACCTGACAGATCAATGGCATAGCTGTAGCCGAGTTGGTCTGCAGTTAAAAAGAATTCCTCATTCGTCACCGGAGGGAAGAAAGGAACCATGTTATACATCCGATTGTGACCAATGGGTGCCAGCTCCTGAGGCCAGGCATCCACAGAAGGATTGGATCTTTTCATCCATTCATCGAAAATGGCGTCGGTAAAGGAATGAAGTACCTGCAAGACAATTGAACATGGCATTTGACATTGATCTGTCTGTCCCAATCAGGCCAATCTGATTGGAGCTTTCTCTAAAGTGGAATGGGGTTCTTCTGGACATGAGGAACTTCTCTGTACCCAACCGTATCTTAGTGACATACCCACTGACATTTTTAGTTATGTTTTCAAGGCTGCCTGGCATCTCTCCAAACAGAATCATCAACCCCTTGTCAAGTGAACAAATGAAAGTTCATTAACAGAGTTAACACTGGTTTGGGAACATCGGATGCCTTTGCTAAGTGAATGTTAATTATTAAGTTGGAGAGAGAAGGGCAAGTATAAGATAGATATCTTTGGTTTTAGTTTTAACAGAAGAGGAAGAAGAGGCTTTGCTTAACAATATTGAAACAAATGGACAGGAAAAGAAGGAAGGAAGGAAAAGAGAGGGGAGAGGAGGGAGGGAAGAGGGAGGGAAGGAGGTGGGGAGGGAGGGGGGGAGGGAGGAAAGAAGGAAGGAAGAAAATCTCCAAAATGGGTTTTCAAATTTTTCTCAGCAGGACAACCCTTCTATGTACTCATTTCATAACACTCTCATTTGAATTTTCAGTGTTATGCCAGCAAAAGAAAGTCTAAAAAATGTTGTGATGTGCACAGTGCTCATTTTTATTTTCTCAAGGAAGTTATTACAGTCCTTCTCAATTACAGCAATTATTATATGTTTTAAAATATTAACAGCAAAATTTCCACATTCATAGCCCCAATTTTGCAACACGACATAAATGTGAGAGTTCAGCCCAACTTTTATGCTGGGTTCCTCTTTTATTTCTAGACTGTAAGTTCAAGGCCTTAGGGACACTGTTCCCTTCTCTTCCCCTGGGTCCCAAGTGCTGTCATCCCAGAGCCTGTCATATGGGGGTTGGGGAGTACTTATTCCAATAAATGCTTATCAAACGAATTCATTATGAATTCATTCACCCTTATTCCTTGTACTCCAATTAGAGCACTGGCCAAATTATACTATAACTTGTTACTTATTTATCTATTTTCCTTAACAACACCCCTAACTCCTAAAGGTCAGAGATTGGGTCTTTTTACCTTTGAAGCATCAGCTTAGCATGCAACCTGGACAGAGTTGATGTTTAAATAAGAATTTGTTGTCTGAAGACTGTGCCATGCAAAGTAGTTTTGTCTTTTGTACAGTTCAACTAAAGAGGCCCCTTTCTATCTGGTGCTGTTTCCTCAACTTGCTATCGCATTTCTTCTGTTTTCTGGCATCAGTCTATCTAAGACCAATGCAAGGGTCCCTGCCCTGAAGGATGTTGCCCTGATCAGGCAACAGCAAGAACTTTCTACCTATATTGTTTCACATGGCTACATATAAGATAGTCAAAAGAATCAAGTGATGTACTCAAGGAGTTTTTTCCCGAATGGATTTTTACAGTTCATGGCAGAGACAATCATCTTAAAAACAAAAACCTCAAATTTTAAGACCTGGGCTTTTACAGAGACAGAAGATTTTTTTTCTTAATTCTAAAATCTTAGACTTGAGTAACAAAATTGAAGCTCCAAAGAAATAAAGGTATAACGTTTATTGCATAAGCAACAGATTTGGAAGACATGTGAAAATGCAAGTGATCAACGTTTCCTACAAGGAGAGCTTAGAGAAGGTCATCAGCCCTGGAAAAAGAGTTAAGTGTTAGTTGTGGGTGTAGGCTGCCAAAAACGTACCCCATGTCCTGAATCCCGGGAACTCCAGATAAGGTTAGAAGGTTCCCATACAGGGAAGTTGTGCTTCATCCTCCAGCTGTAGCCTGGGGAGCCTGCCAGTTTCTAATAGAACTTTTGCCACAAACATGGAGCCCAAGCAATAGAGGCTGAATGCCTAAGGATAACATGCACTATTTATTGGTTGCTTACCAAATATCCACTCTCTTCTTCCTCTGTAACTTCCTTTTTTTTTTTTTTTTTTTTTTGAGTGAGGCAATGTATCAAACTATCCCTGAGATTGAACTAGGAGTCACTGGATGGGACTTCTAAGAAAGTTCTTTAAAGGTGGAGCTCTCAGCTTAAAAGTGACCCTTTTCCCCTTTCCATGTATCCTTGCTGTTTCCTGGAACATGGATGTGATGGTTGGAGTTGCAGCAGCGATCTTAATTGCTAATTAACAAAGTTAGGAAAAGAAGCCACTCACCAAGGGTGGTAGAGCAAAAACACAGAAGGGTCTGTGATGAGTCTGGAGATACAATACCAGCCCCGGAGTACCTGCCACTGGGGATCTTTTACATTAAGAGAAAAATGCACCTCTTTTTTGTTTGGGCTTCTATAACGGGTTTTCTGTTCTAAGCAGCTGAACCAAATCCTAAGTGATACACATAAAAAGTATCTAGGGGCGTACCAGAGTGTATTTTCCAAAGAAGGTCACACAGTATCTCCCAAGCTTTTAGATACTGTCTGAGTTCAAGTCAGAGATCAAATTCTGATTAGAAAAAGAGACAAGGGACTCTCAGGACACAGGAAGGTCCAGATTCAGTGCTGCAAGAAGCAAATAACTTTTGGGAAACACCAGAATTCACCCAGTACAAAGTGTAAATAATTAAGGAGGGGACAAGACTCTGCAGCAATTCATAATTTGGAGAGATAAAAGAACAGGGAAAAATAATAAGGAGAGATTATAGGTCTCAGAAGGGCTATAAAACACTGTACAATAAATGCTGGGGTAGGAACTATATACAGAGCACCCAATTTATAGAATGGAGTAAAAGAGGTTAGTGTGTGCCAAGAAGATGCAAAGAATGCAATAAACAAAATGCTGCAAGCACTAACATATCCACAGCCATAAAGAGAAGTGGTGCAGTCTGTAGAATAGGTATTTTTGTTAGAGTTGTGAACATTGTTCCTAAACAAGATACCTTGAATTGCTCTTGAGAAACTAATAGTATCTTTGTTTCACATGAGTCAAAAATGAGCTCAGTTAATGTCTCTGTAAAGGCTACATGTAATTGGAGGGTAATAAATAAAAGCAAAAGTAAAGTAACAGTATACTGTGGTTGCCTTATATCCGCTACAGAGATACATAGTTATATTTGGGTATTAAAAATTGAGTGCTTCAGAAATGAGGTTACAAATTTGCCTCACAAACCCATTCTATCTTGCTCCAACACATAAGGATAGGTACAGGAAGAAAAAAACTTTTACCTTGGAGGCAGTGTTGAAGAAAGTGTGATTCTATGGGCTTTCAAGGTAAAAAATTTTTAAATGCAACCCTTGCAGAAAAAAAAAGCAATCAATCAATGGCTATTGTGCTGGAAGGCATAAAGAAACTTGAATAAAATATAGGGAAAGCGTGCATATCTTTTTCAGGATCACTGGAGGATAGTTACTATCAAACTTAACCTTAACTTAGATGTCTGCACAATCAGATTCCTGCCATAATGACCACAGACACCAGTACATCACCCAGCACACTGTGGTGTTCACCACTTGAGTTCATGTGTTCCTATCTAGAAGACATCATTCATGGTCAGAGTGAATTTTATTGTGATAATGTTCTGCTCCTCTGAGAACTCATATATGATCACTCGGAAATCACACAATAGACACCCAGTTTCATATGGGAGGTTCCACTTAAAACTTAAGGTAGGGACACCTGGGTGGCTCAGTCCGTTAAGCTTCTGCCTTCAGCTCAGGTCATGATCCCAGGGGCCTGGGATCGAGACCCACGTTGGGCTCCCTGCTGGGCAGGGAGCCTGCTTCTCCCTCTCCCTCTATCCCTCCCCTCCCCACTCATGCTCTCTCTCTGTCTCTCAAATAAAGAAATAAAATTAAAAAAAAAAAAAGAAAAGAAAAAGTACCCTTTCTACATATATTTGTATAATAACATTGTATACAAAATATAAATAAGTATACCTAAAATATATGCAATATACATTGTATGTAAGATATATTAGCATGTATATAAAAAGAAATACAGTTATGTATGGTGGCACATGGTACCTAGACTAATTGTGATGACTGGTTTTGCGATATATACAAATATTGAATCAATATGTTGTACATCTGAAACTAACTTAATTTTATATGTCGGTTATATCTCAATTTAAAAAAGAAGTATCAGTTGAGCGCTTGAGGAAGAAAGCTTATACTTTAAGGATTAAACTTTGAACACATGCAAAAAGATGACTATAAGAGGTTCTGCTATTAGTTCGACAGCTTTAAAAGAAGTCACTGGTTCAGCATATGTCATAAGCAGGTGGGAGAGAGAAAACCAGGGGGATGTCAGAAGAGATTCTAGATAAGAACTGAGATACTCCCAGGCCATTCATGTCTAAGGAATCACCAAAGCTCTAGGAGAAAGGAACCCAAATCAATGCTATAACCACTTTAGATTTGTATATAAATGTGGTTTGCCATTATACTACTTAATTTCATCAATGACAAAGAGTATGCAGTTCATCTCTTAGCATAGGTTTAGTTCTTCTCAATAAAACATGGGTTTATCCTTACAAAGTTTAGAGTTGAAAAGAATTTCTTCAGGTGCCATTTAGCCCCTGTCAAGTTAAAAAACCAAACTATCCCCTAGACCAAGAGTATAGAAATCCTGCCACCCTGGGATGCTCTGCCCAAGCAGATGGCCAGCCACCATCTCCAATACCTCAGCTCTTATAAAATTCACCAAGGTGTCACATTCCTTAGGAATTATTAACTTTATCTCAGTTGTTTAAAAATACATACATTAAATAAATAAATGTAGGATTATTCAACCTTCTGGAGGGCAACTTGGCAGTATCTACTGACATTTCAAATGCATTTATTTAATCTTTGACATGGTAATTCTATTCTCTTGACTTACTCTACGTGTTCATGCACTGAAACATTGTTTGCCAAGCAAGAGATTAGAAACTACCTACATGCCCACTGACAGAAAACTGGCTAAAATTTTCAGGATAAAGCTGCACTATAGAATACTATACAGCCCTAAAAAAGGAACGGAATGGCCTTTATGAACTGATATGGAATGA